TCGTATTTTTTGGAGGGGTTAAAGAAATGGCAGAAACGTTGGGAAAAGTGTATCGACCTCAAAGGAGATTACGTTGAAAAATAAAAAAAAAATTGTGAAAAACTTGTGTCTTTATTCCTAACACGGGTACTTATTGATTGACCCTCCTAGTGTGACAGACCAAAATGAAACAAATCAAATTATTTCAAGTATTTACATAAGGAAATGCCAAACAATGTCAACATCATCTTTAATATCAAAGATTATTACTGACCTGTAAGGAAACTCCAAATGACAATTAGCAAAGTCAGACCAACACCTTCCCTTGTTTCATTTGCTTTCTTCAGTCTGTATCGTTGGAAGGCATATAGGTTGTCCAAGTAGAACAGTAGGATGTTATAATATTTTTAAGAGATGTCCTCATTAAACCATGTTATTACATAAACAACTGGTGGAAAAAATTTCCAAATTATAATCAAACCATAACTGAGAAATACTTCTATATACACTGACTTACCATTTGGGGAATAAACTCTCAAGTTGATCGGAACGTTAGAGATGCCTTTGTTGGAACCTGTGACACGATCTGTTTCTGCTTCAATTTCTCGACGGACTTCATCAAAATCCACAAACTTCTTCCCTTTGCAGTGTAGGAATTCAGCATACTCTGTAAATCAAAAGACATGCTGTCATGTAAGTGTGACTAGAGACAAAGTATGGACTGGAATGAACTGGACAACTGGACTTACTGGACCCTTGCACAAGTAGCTGCAAACAACTGACAGTCTGAGTGACATTTCATTTTCACTTAATTTCACTTATTCACCTTCCATAAATCCTGTCGAGAATACATTCTCATGTGGATGTGGAGATCATCCTAGTTACAGTCACAACTAAGAATTACAATTGTCATCCAATAGCATACACATTTGTAATAAAATACTGATAAACATATACAATATAATAAATATATTAATTTTAGTAGTAAAAGTAAGGGCAAACCTTATACAATTTGTACAGTTTTATACAAGTCTATTAATTAAGAATTCAATAGTTAACACACAATGTCATTAATGAGTTTTGTGTAACATACATTAATAGTATAATAAATTGAAATAGAGACTAGTATACAGTGATATAAAGATTGTGGATATCTAAAATAAGCAACTAAAAACCAGAACACAGACTGACAATCTTGTCTTCTTTTAATTGTAAAGCAAGACAGCTACTCGCATCTTAAAAAGATTTATAACTGAAATATTTCTGTAAAGAATAAAAGGAATTTAATTGTAAAAATTGTTTCAGTTGTACCTCAAAACTCTTAGTGTCACTCGATATATCCTTAATATGTTGTGGTAGATTGTTCCTAAACAATAAACTCCCTTTTGGTATTTACTCAAATTTACAAGAGGCTGATGGAGATTATTTTGCTGTCTGGTATTTATTCTATGAATCTCTGAATTTACTATGAATTTGTTTGTTTTTTATCACAAAGATCATAAGAGATAGTATGTACTGAGATGCCAGATGTAAGATTTCTAATTCTCTAAATAAGTTTCTGCACGAATCCCTCCTTCTGCATCCCAACACACTCCAAAGATCACCATAACAGCAGCACACACAAAGCCTTCTCAGTTTTCACTAGCTACTGCTTAGCAGCAGTTTCCAATGGTAAACGTTCCCCTTCCTCTGGGTTCCCAAATTGTTTCTGGTCTCAGTTACCCGCTTCACTCTTCTCTCAACTGCAACTCTCAACTGACTCAACTCAGAGTCAGGGTTACTTTATGACGGGCAGTTTACTGCCAATCAGTTCGTCTTGGCACCAACCCCATTTAGGCTCATGACCAGAGATTTGAACTACCAGTCCTCGTTATATAGCCCTGCACAGACTGCAAAAAAAATGTCTCTTCCAATACTGCACATTCTCTCATTGCCAGGGAAACATGTCCACAGAGCTGTTCCCTAGAAATGGATGTTGTACTATCACCTGTTTACACAGCTGTTACTTGGCAATGGATCTACATGTCACAATATTAAAATTCCACAAAGACACAATAATCAATTTGCATGTAGGAAGATCAGGACACTTATTAACTGTGGTAATACTTATTAATAATCAGCCAGCTAATTATATGGGATATGGTCTTTCTCGAGAGCTAGCAGGCATTCAACCAGTCAAGGAAATCCCAATCTCTTATGCAACACAAAGGATTATTGCTATGTTCACAACAGCCCACGACTGGACCCTATCCTAAACCAGGTGAATTCATCCACATCCTCTAACCCTTGTTTTTAAGATCCATTCTAATACTATCCTCACGGGGGACAAGGGTACTCAAGCAGCCACCCAGTCTGGGGCTTCAGAGAATAGCTGAGCAGGATGTTACAAAATTTAGAAAATATTCAGGCTGAAAAAACAGAAACTGAAATAGATTAGAGGTTACAAATAACAAGATAATCCTGTTCTCTAACAATGGTCTATACACCCCCCATATCGCTGTTACTGACTGAAAGAATTAAAAAGGATGAAGTTAAAGTAGCCTCCAATGAATAATTCTCGTGACAGAATTAGTCAATTAGTCATTAGTTAAAGAACTGAATGACCTTACTACACTTTTCCTTAGAAAAGAAAAGTGGCCTAAATATATCATCAGTATTATGAAAGCCTTACAGGGAATTTAATAATGCACTCTGTCAATAATGCCTAAGGTTTGCAAGCTGAATCATGCAGAATTTATGATAAATACAAATAAAAAACATTAAAAAATTATCACCACAAAATGTAACCCACCTGCAGTACTGTTTATAAGCTGTAAAATCAGTGGTCTTCTGGTAACAATTCCAGAACCTCGGGGAAGAAAGTCTCTGCAATCATAATTACAGAAGTATAATCAGCGGTCCTACAAACACTGGAAAGAACTTCTAATAGACATTCTCCTTACATGTGTTCACATGTATATAACACTACATTAACTGATGACCATGCCTATCAGGCAGTCAAGACATTAACTACTCTGCCAGCTAACAATCACCAGATTAATAAAGTAATATTCTGAACACATATATCATACCTGAATATAACATTAAGCCTTGCATGAACATAGCCTAGTATCACAGGTAAAATATAACTGATCCCATGTGCATATAAATTTATCTGTATACATGCATATATTGTGACATGCAGCCTGAAAACTGCAACCTGTCCATTTGCTGGGCGGGGCTTCGCAGAGCATGTTCCCGTGGTAACACGAAATGCACCGTTATTCTGGGTTTTGATGAATCTATTGAAGACATATTCATGGTAATGACTTCCAAACAGACTGTTACCACAGATATGAAAAACAGAACTTTTTCAAGGGGGTGATTCATATCCCAGCCACCTAGCAGTGATAAAAGGAGGCCAGTTGAGAAGCCAGAATACGACAGGACGCGGAAGAAGTGACTCAGCAGTGAATCGGCATATTTTTGAGTATAAAGAAGAGCTATGCAGAGAGGGATTTGTTATCCAGAAGGAGTTGAGTGTGTGAACTGTTATAGCAAAGTATAATTGTGATAGTACTGTCAAATAAATCCAATCATTAAATGTAAAAGTAAGGTAAAAGTAAAGCTATCCCTGTAACAGGCCGTGAAGGCCCATAGGGTTGTGAGACCTTGAGGGTCCCACATTATCTAGACAATTGGCTCAACGATAGTGGTAAGGTTATCAGCCTTATGCGCCAGCCACACTTTACTCCCCAGGAAAATGATTTAATTAATTCCTGGTACTCATTTCTGTTAGAGGCTGAGTTAACCTCAGGGCCATAGTGCAGCTGGAAGGATTAGGTCAACTGAAAAAATCCAGTGACCTCATTGGGACTTGAACCCATGACCTTAAGGCTTGTAGAATCCAAAATTATTAGTCACGTTACCCTGGATACACATGACAATATATAAGCAGCCATGATAGCGCAGTCAGAACAGCGATTGGCTACAGACTGGACAACCAAGAGGTCAAGGTTCGAGTCCTGGTAAGGTCAAAAATTTTCTCTTCTCCACGTCGTCCATTCCAGCTCTGGCATCCACCCAACCTCCAACCCAATGGGTACTGGGGGCTCTTCCCCGAGGGTAAAGTGGCCGGGATGTGAAGCTGACCACTCACCTCCAACTTATGCCGAGGTCAAGAAAATGTGGATCTATACATCCACTCCCCCATACGCCTTCATGGCTTAGTGCTTAAATAGTTAAGCACATGTACAATTTTACCATTGTATATATGTATATATCTATAACCATCAATAATGTATATCCTGCTACAATGTGTGACCTAAAATAACAGAGAAACTATCTGAGAACCTGCTGCAAATTAAAATTATGAAATATTCCATCTGTCTGGTGCCCCAGTGTAACAGGATGCTGAAATATAATATTAGGCTGCAAACTGTTAAGCCCAACCAAAATGCCAAAATGACATGCGTTACACAATGAAACAAGTGTTCAAGTACAATACACATTAGAAAAGCAGGGAAAAGATTTTGGCACAAATTTTAGAATGCTACAGTTCCAAACATAAAACTGTATCTATACAACTGTAAATAAATTTATGCAGAGTCATTAGAGGACAAAAGAACAGCTAAACTCAAGTGCAGTGTTTTCATGTAAAAAAAAAAACTTTAATGCTTGCAAAGAATGTAAGGGACTAAAACTTCAAATTGCCTCATTTCTAAACATAAGTTCATTGGTGAAACTTAGCACGTTATGGAGATATAAGGAATATATATGTAATAAACAGGGATTATTTCAAGCGCCTGCTGTGATGTGAATGGGTTTCATTTGTAATCTGTTTGCCTATGGATCTGTCACTGCACTGTAGATCTGGACATATGTGGACAGGGGTGGCACAGGAAGTTGTCTCTCTTCCTCTCGACTGAACAAAAAATTTTCTTCTTCTGAAATTACTGTTCTGTTTTCTTGACCAAAAATCTCTCTTAATTTTGCAATACCAAAGAGTGTTCAATATCACAGTCTCCACCACACACACAACACACACACATACAGATGGATAAGATAAAAAATATAAATTAACTGACTGGTGTCTGCAAGAAATGAAAGTCAAAGACTACAGACGTATACAATTTCAAAAGCTTTAGAAAAATGTGTGTGCTCAAGTACTATAGACATTTCTACTCTTATATTATCTCCGATCTTCATTTGGTCTCCATTCTGGCTCCTTTACAATAATTGGTCAGCATTTGGTACCTAATGCCAAACTTTGACAAGTCATCTGTGCTTGTAACCTCAACTGGTTAGCATATTTGAAACTCATTTTCTATTCAGATACCATTTGGATGAGTTATATTATCAAGTTTATAAGAAGTTTCCCCCTTAAAAGACTGCATGAATTTGTCTCCCACATTCTTCTTACATGTCTAAACCATCAAAAACTCTTTGATCCAATCACCTGTATAAATTTCTTGCATCATTTATCCAAGTTAAAAACATCCTCAATGTAATGGCCTAACAATGAATAGTGGCCTGTATAAATCAAGTATCTGAATATAAATAAATATCTCTATTCTAAATTACATTTTCCTGAGCATTTTGTTTTCACACACTTGCAGTTCATGTTCTTCTCTCAAGATATCATCTTTCACAACAAAACAAACCACAAAAAGTACATATTTATTAAAAACTGTAATTATGTTTAAAATATGCATTCCCCTAAAAGACATTTGGTGAATCAGTCTAATATCAACGAAAAGTATACAATATTAATACGAATAAGACAAAGTACATACACTATTATCAGGCCTAAGATGGACTGAGAAGACTGCCAGAAAGAGGCCTTAAGATTTAATCTGCATGCTAAACGTCATATATGAACACTGAAGTTACTATTCACACACCACAAAGACAAAATGTACACAACCTTAATGTAAAGAATGTAATTCTACTTAAGAAAAACACTCAACTGAACCAATTCTTAAGTGAAGAGTAAAGAAATGGGATGAATGGTTATGAGGTACAAGCATGAAACTCAGCTTTAATTGCATGTTCTATTCAACCATTAAATGACAGATTCAGCTCATTATTACCCTAACTTTAGAAATATGTAACAGAATACTTCGATACAATTAGCTCGACTATGAACACGTTTTTACTTTTAACATGCAATATGAGAAACATTAACTCAGGAACTTACACAACCACTATGTAAAGACACGGACCACCTCTGCATCCGTTTGAATGGGGATGGTGTAATATGACCCGTTAAATTTAATTCCGGGCATAACAAAACTTTAATTTTCAAAATTGTTGCAAACATCTGTACATGTAAATCACATTATTTATATTTTCGAGGAAACCAACTGTCAAATCTGCGACTGAAAAGTCGTTATTAAACAAGGCACAGTGGTTATTAAGCATTAATTTAAACATAAAAACTCGAGTATCCGGTAAAAAAATCTGATTACAGGGCAGAACATTTTAGGAAACACCTCAAATGTAAAGTCAGATACAAAAACACTTACCTGCCCACAAAATTCTCCAGTACGGAACTTTTGCCTGCACTTTGTCCGCCCACAACTGCAATTTGTGGAAGATCCAATTGCATATGAACACCCAACTGTGTAAAGGCATCTTGGAGTTTATTAACGATTGGGATGAGCTGTTCCATCCCAGTATTTCCAGACATTTTGTCCAGTATTCAGAAAGCCGATCCCTACACCTTAAATGATACCAGATCCCTACTGCGGGGTGGAAAACCAATATGGCGGACTACCCATAATACTGTGCGGTACATTGCCGAGATCGACGTTTTACATGGATAAGTCAAAATTATTGACATGTTTTATTTACATTTACATGTAACACAAAATATAGATTCAAAACATTTACACCATTAACACGAGTCTCATTTTAAATCACCGATATTTCAAACTTATATCTATCTTAGTATCATGTCTTCTCTCTGCTTAGTTACATAAAATCAATATGTTTATACTCATCTTTCGAGAATCTCTTAGCAAGCAACAGACTAACACTTTTTTTTTCGAATTCAGTTGTCCAGTGGTCTCAGCAGATTTTGTAAAAAGTAAGAATACGGGTTTTGCTGAGAGGTTTTTATTTTTTCTTATCAATACGCGAAGCCAGTACGCAAAGCTTCGGTGCTTGACCTAATTTTGACAATACTAATGATTGACACTTGCTGTGGCATAAGTAATACATGGATATGTGGCCCTTTCAGAGCCACATTTTGTAAAATGTTGTTGGTAAATATTCATGAGCATATTTATGTCCATAGATATCTGGTTCCCCCTCCAGCTTCTAATGAAAGAACATTCTGTCCTAATGCCTGTTTGAACGTGTATTAATTTATAATCTGTTAAAGTGTTTTGGTCAGTCCTTTTTTTTTTTCGTCAGATAGGCAATGTGACAGACGGCTTCAATAAAACTGTCTCATCTTTTCTGCTGAAATTATGTTTTGAAAAGAATTTCGTTACGCCGTGGTTGAAAAGTGCCACATATATTTCAGGTATTGATTCGTGGTTGTGGCACAGTTGTCCTTAGCTCTGGCATGCAGATGCATTAGAGAACAGGTCTTCCTTATTAGCTAACAGTTGCATAGCTGGCCAAGGGATTCCGTATTTTCACGGAAACTAAAGGTTTATTACTGCAATCATGTGAGCCGACACCGGTCTATTCTGAGTCAGATGAATCCCGTACACGCCTTCATAAATTAGTTTTTAATGTTCGTTTTAATATTATGCTCCATCTTATTCGATTTTAGCTTTCTCCATTCGTTAACCCTGGCATGGCTTATCATCTATTATGTAATCGCCTCACAATGAAAGGGAAATGTAATGAAAATTTATTTAATTACTTGGCCCATTGTAACGAAACTCATTTTTCTCATTTCGTAAGAGAATGACATTTGTTTTTATGCTGGCTCTGGAGCAAGGGAAAATTACAACGAGAATATGGAGGCTGAAATGTGAGGGACAGTGTCAGATAAGGTGATAGTGAAATAAAATGAGGCAACTGTATGTCGCAAGAGAAGCGGAAAGTGACTTCAAGTCCAGCGATAAGTTCACACATTTCGAAATCTGAATTTCGAATTTGAAAGTGCCAAGCGAACTATCGCAATGAAGTCGACCTAAAGCGGCCTAAAGCATTACCGATTAGAGTGATGTAAAAGTAAAAGCGCTAAGGGGAAAAGCGGCATCCATAGAGCACAGACAGCACACCTAACAGCGGCAACAGCAGCAACACAGCGAAAGTATAGAATGAGGGATCTGGGAAAAACAGGTACAGAAAATGATAATGCAGTTGCATGTGACAGGTGCCACGTCTGGCACACAAGGACCTTGTAGGTATTGGCGCAAGAGAATTTAATATCATAAATTGGAGAAAGTAAAATTTGATATGTTTATGCGCAGACTGCAAAGCCAAATCTGTTGCATAACGAAGACATATTTAACAAAACAGAATCTACGGAAAATAAAACTGTATATTAGAAGCCAGAGGAAACACGTCGAAAGTATAAGCGAGCTGATAACAAGAAGAATCGAACACACCGTATGAAACAAACTCGAAGAAATGATAAAGAATTGCCTATCAAGAACACATATTCGAGAGGGACAGAGGAGATGACAAATGAAAATAAAACTGAAGCAAATTAAGAAATTCAGAAGCAGCGCCACATGGAGCATCAGCAGGATGCTGCAACCGAAAACGAATACAGGGAATGGCTAACAAGAGAAGACGAGAAGAGGAAGAGGTCGGGCGTTTTGTCCGCGCATTGAGCAACTCTTTCAGTCAGCAACCTAGGGACAAATTAAGGAACGAAACCTGCTCAGAAAAGCGTCTATCATCGCAGCTAGGTAAGAAGAGAGCCTTCTCCACCACACAGGAGAACTACAAAAGGAACACCTAAAAACGACCCCCGAATTGGCTTGGATGTACATTGAATGACTAGAAGAAGGTACTTCAAAAGATCTCTTAAATCAGCTGCTGTTTAACATTGATCCGAACGAGGCAATTCATAGGAACGACAGGAAGACTGAAATTTGTGCCTGCGCGAATGGACTTCGTGATGGTCTCTACATCATTTCATGAGTTGCAAGAATCTTTCAACAATTGGTGTAATGGGCAGAAATAAATAAAAGAAACCCCGAAATAATGATCTTGAGGAAGTATGGGAGAATGAAGCATGGGGACAAAATCAAGTACGGCCAGGAGCGGTTAGGAATCGTTAGGTACTATAAATTTGTGGAAATAAACCTACACACTAATGGGAAAGGCTTCACTGTGCACATCCCCAATACGTAACGTGGCGGATTTTCGAGCATAAGCAAGTTATCGTTTGAAAATGGATGACACTTTTCATTATAAAAATGGCGCCAATTTTAACGTACGGACTAAAAATGCTATGGGGACATCGCAGAGAAATAACTTAAAGACTTTAGACAGTGTAAAAGCGAGATACCTAAAGAAGGCATCGGGAGATTCAAGATTCACGCCATTGTGATTAGTAGACCTCATAGGACATCCAGGAGAAAGTCTCCTGACGGAAGTCTTATGTTGCAAGCCACTGCTGTCATGCACCAATGCAGCGTGCGAATTAAGGAACTGGGTGTTACTAGTTATTCTTACGCTCTCGGCCCTCCTTGTGATTCGGTTGAGAGCAGATATCACAACGGTTTCTTCAGGTCAGATTATTCTGCAGTAAATCGAGCAAATAGGAAAGAATTAATTAGGCAACAGACTGAAAGGCAAAATAATGTTCTCGTTGGAGTAAAATGATTTGAAAGGAATCTTATGTCAGTTGATATTTCAATTACCATGGAAGTATTATTACCTGTTCTGTCAAATTTTATAACTCCAAATTACTTTACGAGTTTGATACTGTTAAAATGCAAACTTGTAAGAGTAACTGAGAAGTAGAGAATTTGATAAAGTAGGCATGTAGGCGCTAATGCTACCATGACAGTTAAAATATGAACTCACTTAAATTCAACCCTTTCAGAGCACTTCATTTACATGATTTGTGGGTGGGCTGCCGTGAGAACCTCTAATCACACACAACAAATAAAGTTAGCCATGTGAAGATATACACACAATCACCACCGATAAACACACTGGGCGCTGTGTAGACGCTCTTAACCGCTCATAACATTTTGAAGTTGAAGGAAAACATTCCAATAATGCGTATAATTCATGCTCGTGATTTGTGTGTTTTTGTGATTGTGTTGAGCTGCTGTCTGTGTGAAAAAAAAATCGAAAAATAGAGACATGCCCACTTATGTAAAGAAGAGGACAGATCGTTGGTGCGCATTTCTAGAACATGGGTGACAAAAACTGCCACATTATTGGGCGTGTATAGAGAGCGACGGTGTCTAATGTTATATCGGAATACACGAATCATGGAAAGACAATCACAGCGGGCGAAAGTCGACACTGACAGAAAGAGATCGCCGTAAATTGAGAAGGACTGTTTCGAAAAATCACAGAACTGAATATGCATCTCTACGAACCTCTTAAAAAGAATTGTCCGACAGGAGCTTCACAAATCCAACATCCACGGTAGGGCTGCAGTAGCTAAACCTCTTGAGTTCTGAAAGTAATGCCCAGATCCGCAAACAATGGCGTCACGACCATAAAACCTAAGACATCAGACAAATGGAAATGCGTGTGTGATATGGTCAGGTGAGTCGTCCTTCACGCTGTTCCTGCATCAGGAAGAGTTTACGCTTGGAGAACGCCCAAGGAAGCCTACAATCTTGAAAGCCTGATACCAACAGTGAAACATGGGAGAGGTTATGTGATGGATTGGGCAGCAATATCATGGTATTCTGTTGGTCACATTATTACCCTTCATAATCGAATTACTGCAAGGGAGTACATGGACAGGTTGGGTAATCAGATTGCATTCCATGATCCAGACATTATTTCCTAACTACGATGCAGTTTTTGAAGACAACAATGCCCCCATTCACACAGCTGGAACTGTTCAGTCATGGTTTGGAGAACATGAAGGTATACTTCAACATTTTCACTGGCCAGCACAATCACCAGATTTGAACATCATTGAACCATTCTGGTCAGTTTTGGAGAGCAGAGTGAGGAAGAAGTTCCTACCTCCAACATCTCTAAAGCAATTTGAAGATGTTCTTCAAGAAGAATGGTATATAATTCCTCTAGAAACTGTCCAAAATTTGTACTAGTCCATTCCAAGGATTATGACTGTATTGAAGGCAAATGTTGGTCCATTACCATATTAATAAAAAAAATGTGTATAGTACTGTAGTGTCTGCATTGTTTTGTGCAACTGCTGTATATCCTTTAAACATTTTGTCTGATCATAATAGTACATTGATTGTAGCAGTATTGCTATTGTTTGGTAGTTGCGATTGTTAAATGTTAGGAAATATATGTGCATTGTTCCCTAGTCGACATCTCCAACTGTACTTTCAGCAGCTAGGAGTCACATTTGTCATCTCATGCCATAGTAAGACTGCCATCTTTAAAAAACTTGCATCAACTCTATTGGTATCTTTACTCAAAAGCTACACATTTGTTTTCACAAATTTACCTGTAATGCTTCTATCAAGGTCCTAATATAAAATACTTGCCTGTTGGCTAAACTGTGTGTACAAATAGAGGCCTAAAGTAAACTTTGCTATCCAAGCTAGCTGGATAATGGAGAGTACTGTACGAATTCTAGATATTATACAAGGTAAAGGTGCAGTTATCCCCTTGCTTAATTAAGCATCATGCCATGAAAATTTATGGTGCAGTGGGGGTATAGATCTACCATTCTTGACCTCGGCGCTAGCTTGAGATGAGTGGTCAGCTTCACACTTCATCCCTGGTACCCACTGAATAGGAGACTGGGTGAGCTCTAGGGTTGGTCTGGGGAGCAGAGAAAAATCTCTTGCCACTGCTCGGAATCAAACCTTGGCCATCCAGCCCATAGCGCATCACTATACCATCTGAGCTCACATGTTTCCCAGATATTATTCATGACCAAATTATATGTCAGAGCATACAACATAAATTATAAATAACTATAGTTCTCAAGGATACAGTAAAGTCTGCTAGCATAAACACTCTGCAAAACATTTTAGTAACAGCTGCAACAGAAGAAATCACTCCTCAGTAGACATAACAAAACATTCAAAGGTAAACCTAACATCCCTACTCTGATTCTGAATTATAGGGGAGTAGATGTCAGGAATGATCTTTGCCCCTACTGAGGATAATGTGCTCATGGGGACATTTAGAATTTTTTTTATGATATATTCAAAACTATGCAGACTAAAACCAACATTTACACATCACAACAAAGATGAGAAAGCAAGGACCTCTGGAAATGGAAAATCATACTTGCCCAGTGGAAACATGTAACTTTACAGGATTTGAAAACTTGTACACATTGTTACTGCACACACTAGCAGTACAAGGTTATGTAATGGTGGAAATGACCAATAATTCAAATCAATTGCACAGTCAGTGCATGTCTTACGATACTTCTCAGCTTTGAGAGTGTTGCATCTAAACCATGAAATACATGTACTGGAGAACAATCAGTTATGTTGCCTTATATAAAATTCAACCAATACTAAATAGCCTAACCTAAAACACTAAGACAACATAAAAGAACACAAACACAAAATCTACCTATTAGTGAAGTTCTATATGCATTTTGAAGGCACTTACTCTTATTTGTGTACATAAAAAGGAAGCCGTGTATATATGAAATCAAAATTTTTTTGTTACATGAGGTAGAAAGTGGTTATGTGCACAACACAGAGATGCAGGCTCACACACCTATTAACGGAGAACACATGCCTGCACTCAGAGCAAACAAACAGGCTCTGTCAGCAAATGAAGAGCAAGGAGCATACTGTATATACGGATATTTGATTTTCTAGCCTGAAACTCTTTACCTATGAGTAGAAGACACACTAACACCAAATAAAGAATTGCCAAACAAACACTATTGATTTAACTGAAAATTGGGGATTACTTATCAATGGAATTATGGTGATGCAAATACAAGTGAAAAGGATAAAAGATTCACAACAGCATATTGCCAGAAGTGTGATGTGGGTCTTTATTTAGGGGAGTGCTCTGAAGATTGTATTCCAAATTCAAAGCTACTGGGAGTGATTTTGTAGGGTGAAATTTTGTTACACACTGAAGTGACTCACACTTTTATGTACAACATATTACTGTACAGTATACTCATGTACAAGCTTCGGGGTTTACAACTTTAACATTACTAAACAACCTTTACTGTATGCATCCTGTTGTGTGATACATATTAGTATTCTTAATGTATCAGTCAACGCAACAATCCTGTAATAAACAAATCAGTACTACTGTATTAGCATCTGTTTATTGTGTGGAAGTACTGCTACATGTTTCAACCCTCCTGGGTCATCATCAGACAATCATTATATGATATTATATTTCAGCATTCTGTTGCATTGGGGAACCATTTAAAATTGTAAAGTATTCCGTCTGTAATGCAACAAAGTCAATCCTTTCTTAAAAGACACTAAAATATATTTAATTCACTAAAAAGTGTTTGTTGAATACTTTAAAATGGCATTAAATATCTATATTTGTTCTTGCTACATGTCCCGGCTACACATGGACCATCATCAGGCAGCACTTATTATTTGGGAAGATAACTGCACTGTACACTTTGTCCTTAGTACCCTCAAGCAAATCGTTGTTGCTGTTAATCTGCTTTGTAGGATCACACCATGAAAAATAATCAGAAGAATTGCAAATTTTAATTTTTATATTAACTGGAATTTTACTTTTAATGAAATGTAAATTTTTATATTTAAAATTAACAATTGACAATATATCCATAGAAAATAAAAAAAAATGTTACTGATCTGGTTCTATATTGGTAAACAATCCAATAACAAGTGACATATTCATGTAATGATTTCCTGATGATGACCCAGGAGGGTTGAAACATACAGCAATACTTCCACACAATGAACAAATGCTAATGCAGTAGTACTGATATGTTTATTACAGAACTGTTGTGTTGACTGATTACTAAACTAATTTCATTTTATTTTTGAGTTAAGCTTATATTTCTGGGTATAAAAAGTACATATTTTACATAAAAAAATTAATGAACTTCACTGATTTTTCATATTTCTGTAAAAGCCTCTAACGCAGGGAGATTCAATAATTTATAGTCCTCCAGGCTGAAAGTATTAAGAAAAGAATTAATGTTTTAATGCCTTATGACACAGTCCATTTCTTCACTTTGAAATCAATATATTTTACATTCATTTTCCTTCATGTTCTGTATAAAGGCAACTCTAGGCTTAATGTGCCACAAGAATCTTAATTATTATTCACATAAGTAATAGTCGCTTCTGTTTGAACTTTCCAATTAACAAAACTACACAGTAATGAAATAAATAGAAAATATGTAATTTTAAAATTCTATCAGTAAATGCTGTATATCACTTTATAATAAAGGGGCTCCATGTAAACATGCTTAATATGACAAAACATGTAAATTAGGCAAAATCATAATTCGAACAGAACACTGATTTACATATATAAAATACAAGCCACTTCTGTATATGTGCCATTAATCACAGAATAACAGAGCTACAAGGCAAATCTAAAATGTCAATGGACATGATCCCAAAAAATATTTCTTATAGCAATAAAACTGAACACATCTGTACCACCATAGATACATCTTTCAGCAAATTAATGAAGTATGCACCTCCTTGACATATTAGTGATAATTCAAGGCTGCACTTGAACATGGTATCCTTCTACTTGTTTTACTCAGCAATTAGATATGCTTCTTTAATGTGAGCCAGAGGTCTACATGGTTACACCATAGACCCAATTTTAACAAAAATTGGAAATTACAAGATGTCATGTCAACTGCACCACGAAGATCTGTGAAGTCACACTCTGCAACTCTGGTGACCACTGGAAACATTCCTGGACTGTGTCCAGTGGCCCTTTCAGTTTCACTTGGATCTGGGCTGTCCAACTGGTGGCACACGAGTGTTGCACAGCACATAAGAGATCCTTCCATTCCCCAAAACAAACATTAATGCTTTCCCCTTCCCTCTTCGTTCAGAAAGGTGTCGAATCTCGCCCTTCACCCCCAAGTTGGAGAAATATGGACTTCCTATGACCCCAATATCATGTGAAATATAAATACAATATAGAAATCCTTCAGTGGCTGTTTTCAAATGCCATTAGTCTAGCTATATTTAATATAAATAAACATTTTTTAACTTTATGGGGCTATTCTTTTTCATTTGCTTGTGCTTTATAGGTCTAATGATTGCAGGGCAGACATTTGCATCAATGTACTGAAAAAAAAATATATAATTTTTATAATGTGGGCCATAGGTAGGTACCTACCTGCAGGCTGTATTATAATATTATGTTTGAGACAATACTATAGCCCTATGGCCTTAAACTGGACAGCCCTGACTTAAGATTGGATCATTTTTACATGATAACATATATCTGTAAGAATTAACCTATACTGAGGAAGTATGGTGTGCAATATTAGATAACAGATAAATTTGGATAACAAGTCAAAACATGCTGGTTAAATTTGTTTCCCCTCATCTCTCTGTATTCAGTAGCAAACACTACTTCAACTGTCACACTTGTAAAATGAACACAGTGTACAATTTAACATGGTAACCTTAAAGGCAATATGACAAAAATGCCTAATGGATACAGAAACCCACGTTTACATGGGCATTGAATATATGGATCTGATCTTGGCTGTTCTAGACCCAGCCATCACAATATTGCAAGTACTGAATAATGATACCGGATAAACATGGTACACATATTATCAAAGTAATCAATGCTGCAGCAAGATCCCAGGAAAGACGAGTGCACCCAGGAGACAACAGAATAAGAAGCCGAAACTTCAAGGAACCCATTCCTAGAAGCATGAAGACATTACACGAGGCCCTTGGACAAGCTCTCGAGTTGGAGGGTGTGAAGGAAACCATCTGGATTTCCAGTAGATTAAGAGAGGTGAGACACTGGACGCTGTGGAGGAGTCGACCCCCTCCGAAACGGAAAAAATGGAATAGCGCATGGTGGAGGAACCGGTAACACAGGAGCACCGGCCTCCGCAGCTAGAACGAGCGAATGAGCGACGAATGAATGTGAGACAATGGAATCAACATCTGCTGGACCGTGGAGCTGCTTGGTGCGAGCACCTTGAAGAAAGAGGGTGGATGTAGCTTGCCAAAGGCGAACACCAAAGGAAAAGGAATGGAGATGCTCTGTTAGGCTGTTTGGGACGAACAACCTTTAGAAGGGAGCATCAGGAAGTAGGGGTCACATGAACTCTTGTGTTTCTGCAAATGACATCACATACCCCCACTCCTTCCATCATTACACAACACTCGGTAAACACTCCTCCCCACTAGGCTGTGACATCACGCAACAGGTGAGTCCATGCAGCGACTATTGTCAGGCAATCGGTAAACCCGACGTATCACAACAGTGGTAGCTATCACATAACTGTTTTCTGTGTTGTCAGTGCAGAAGCTACATAACGAGGAGTATTCATCAGAGTTGAACTAGGGAGTTACTAGTATCCAGTATTCATTATGAGTTGAAGTCCAGCAGCTACAAGTTGAGTTGTATTGAGTGAATGGAAGTGACTACAGCAGGAAAAGTAATTGTGATACTGCAGATGGCAGTAATTGGGAAATAGTGAATTGTGTAAGTGTAAAAGCGAGTGTGGAATAAATTTGCTAGATTCAAACCGGCATGAAGTTATTTGTCGCGCATGAAACACCCAACATGTGACAATACTTATTAGACATTGAGGATCCATGGCATCTTGGTGCTGCATCAGGAACTAAAAAAAACTCTTTAAATTTTTAGAAATCATGTCCTTTTCACCATGGGCAGAATGAGAATAGGAAGGCAAAAGCAGTTATATGAAAAATCTTGAAGTCTGAGAGTGAAAAATCAGCATTTGAATTGAGATCTTTTATTCTTGATTTTATAAAAAAAATTGATCCTTGCATATGCCTAGATCAGTCCAAGAGGTACAAAGTTCTTAAAATTGTTCCAATTAAATCTTTTGTGGATTTGTCAATTACCATGTTTATATTGAATCATCAATTCTTGATTTAAGATAAGGCTGTCAATACACATAAATGTTTTGGTATGTAAATTTGATCCTAGCTCTCACATACATTTCGATTACTTTGTTTGCAGTTTACATAACATTTCAGCCCAAAAAGTTCAGTTACTTTGTTTTAACAATATGCATCTTAAACCCTCTGACTGCCAAACCCTGCCACAGACCTACCAGCTTTGGGAAAATCTGCAATAATTCCTCACACTACATTCAAACATCCACGGGAATAAATAATGTGAAAGCCTGTGCTTTCTTCTAAACATCTATATAGCACATTTGATGTCACCTATTGACATAGATGCTGTACTGAGTCATGAACAATCAATTGAGTTCTTTGGCCAAGACAGTTTTAATACAAGTATGCTGAGTTGATCTGATTAGCTTGTGGTTCCAAAAGGTTAAGGGCATACGCATTTGAAATGTAATGCAAACTCCATTCTTATGGCACTGAGCACAAGTGACTTTAGATCATGAAATGTGAAAATCTACACAAAATAAATATATAAAATGACAGGTTACAGTGTCAAATTGCTGCTGATGATGGCACATAGGTATAGGCATTTACCAGTATTTTGTTAAAAAATTAATATTAATTGAAATAAAATGAAAATGATCTGAATTAACATAAATCAAGAAACAGTGAGATGCCACTCAAATAACATACTGATAACCATATTGTACTGGCTTACTAGCAGAACAGCTTGTGACATCTGAAATATTAATAGATTTTAAAATTTAATTTCAATCTTAGATCTCAGCTACTTGTTTTAGTATTTGTTCATATGCACTGGTGATTCTGAGGGCTCCTTCCACACAAATTCAATCTAGAATTCTGATCATCTAAATCTTAATTTTAGCATTGTTATATATAAGTACAGAATTCTGTTAGTTACTGTTTTTAATCTAAGCATTCTCAAAAGATTTCAGTCTCAAACTAGAAGTCCTATCATTCTATTCTGCCAGAAACCTTCATTATCATAAACAAGAGTTAGGAATTTTTATGTACTAACATGCTCCCAGCTGGGGAAATGCCTAATAACTCAACTCCAACAGATGGAAAACGAACATAACATCTACCTACACTTACAATCGGCTCAATTTTAAACAGATACAATATAATTAACTTTACTCAGTCGAACACTACATATATAGAAAAATGTTTAAAAGTTTTAACTTATACAAGAACTATTTTAAACATTTCTTAATCTTCTTGTAAATAACAAAATGCAATACTGCAACAAGATATTGACCATAAACAATAGTAAGGTTGAAGTATTCTACCTGCTGGGATTAACGCTATGTAGCCCACTGAACATCGACCTACTTTTGGAGGAACATCACCTCCATTTTCAAGGTCAAAGAATAAGCCTAGCAAGAAAGCAGTGTGAAAACATGTGGCAAGCTGAGCTCTGCTGGTTTCCTGCTCAGCTTATTCTTTGACTTTTTGAAATGTCGGCTCTCAACAGACTACACAGCATTATATTCCAGAAGACAGAACTCTTCATAAACATGGCTGTGAGAACCTCAAATCCTAAACAGTAAAGGTTTTTAATCACAGGGTCTTAATATTGTGCATATATTCTTAAATACATGTAATTCAGTGGTTTCTTTTTAAGACATACCCCCAGTGATGGAAAAATTACTTCAAAACATGTTAAGGAATTACATTATATGAAAATTCAAGATAACTTGTTATCAGATTGCTGGATATCAAAGATTTTTTAAATATTAATCTGTTAATCCATTTAGTTCAGAGGAAAACCTCTACATGATTTTAAATGCCAAGCTTACCTGGTGTATTACAATATAAACATAGATTTAGGTCTCAAAGATGTAGATTTCTTTCCTAAAGAGTTTATGTTTCAAAATTCACAGTTAAAAAGAAAATTGGAAATATGTTTCTCTTACTCAGGAAATGCATGGTCCAGGTATCTCCTGAGACTCACACCTGGACCAGTCTAGTGATTTTCAAGTGAGTCTTCACCTCAGAACTCCTCTCGAGTAACATAAAACTTTACATTTGTATGCCTGATGATTATGACTTTTCAGCACAGTATTACAAGTAAGAAGCATTCCTCCTTCATCCACTCATGGACCCAGCACTTGCATTTATTACAGTCCTTATGGGTTCTTCACACAACTATTTCTAAAATTATGTTAGCTGCTACTATCACATCTCTCAATGCCATTTCAACATAAACTAGCATAATTAAGGGCTTCTACTGTAAAAGCCTAACAATGTGTCGGTTAAAATGTATCATTTTGTCACTAAGTGATGTATCACCTAGTGACAATATGTACATGTTTTTCACTTTTTCTGTCTGCTATCTTGAAAATGGTGAGGAAGTTCACAATGTCAATAGTTATTTAGTGTTCATCTCTTTGGACCCTTTTCTGGCAAGTACTTCACCTGGTCTCTTCCATTTCACATTTATACTAATACAAAATTCAAATCAGATATAATATGCATATATAAATTCAAAGACAAATTCCCTTAGAGAACTGCTTACAATATGTACAGGTTAATTTTTTATTTCCAAAATATTTTTACATTTCTGTGCACCAGGAGTTCACTTACTGACCTTAAAGAAGCTTTCAAAGCAGGAAAACTTCTTTACACCTGTTTCCTTGTAAATACATGCATTCAAAGGCATGCATGCACACATACACAATAAATTTAGTATGATGTTACCCTCAGAAAACTGAAGAGCTAAATTCTTCCCTGTTATACTTTTATTCTACATCCACATAAGACAACATGGGTAACAGCACTCTATTCCCATTAACTGAGTAGAGATCCTTGCTCACCAATATGGCTTACAGTTTTAAAAACGGAAATGTGGCTAAGCGTGGGGATTCTTCTATATGTGCCTTCTATTCTCCCATTAACACAGAATTTCAGAAAGAGCAGCAATTTAATCAAATACTATCACTTAAATGAAGAAACAAAGGCCATACATGAAGAGTATCGTCTTCTCAATTGTAATACTGTGTAGTACAGAGGGAGCCCAAAATTTCAGAGAAGAAAAGTCAGGCCATCTCCAAACTATAAGATGTTACAACCCAGATGACTACATCATCATTGTGAGAACCTCACATTCCACAGAGGTCATGCAAAGACCAGTGCAATCTCAAAGCTGTACGAACAATTCACTACAGTTCATCAGTTATTTATCAAAGGAATTGGTAACTGATTGTTTGTATACATACCAGCATCAATGACCTTATATATAATGTACAACTACGATCAACACAGTGTTGAAGCAGTGTTTTATGCAAACTGTCATGATGTCACCTCAGTATCCTGTCTATGCAGGACAATTTCAATATCACAAAGTCTTCCTACTGACAAGTGTACTGATATGAATGTTCATAGTTTTCATCCACTTGATAGGCTGAGATTATCACAAGAAATAAGGGGTGGTGGTACGAGGAGGTATGACACGCTCAGAATCAGGCACAGCCTGAAAAAGTTTGGGTTCTTTAGTGTCAATGTTAGTGAATTCAAGAATTGATGCTATATTACCACACCTATAGCAATAATTAGGGGCTGACCATACAGTAACCAGCTTGTCATCAAACATATACTTGAAACCTGGAAACAAGATGAATATATTCTGAGCAACAGAAAGAAACAAAAGCTGTGTACAAAGTTTTAAACAGTGGGAACATAAAGGAGCATGAATCACAAGGTACTAGGTAGGAAAACTATCTACCACAACGCTCAACTCCTAAAAGTAAAGAAGTAAAATAAAGGTATCCCTGTAACAGGCCATGAAGGCCCATAGGGTTGTGAGATGTTGAGGTTCCCACATTTTCTAGACAATAGGATCATAGATGGCAGTAAGGTTGTCAGCCCTACACGCCGGCCGCCCTTTACACCCATGAATATTCCACACTACAGTGTGCCCCCTGATCCACTCCTATCATTTCCAATTTCAAGTTCTTTGCTGAGCAACAAATAACAGAGGACATTTAATGTACTAACACAAGAGACCTGAAAGCTCTATCACATGTATACTCTGTTTGTTATCTGTGGACATCAACAATATTACTATTGTTTGTAGTAATTCTGATCAAACGTAAAATATTCCCAAACACGTACTGAAGTTTGTACATACCTTCATGCACCAACTGATGTGCCCTACAAATAAGTTTCAAATTATTGAGCAACATGAACTCGTGTGTGACTTTAGCACCAAATAACCAACCAGCACCCCTAGGACTTATAGCCCAGGTCTCAACATCTTCAGGATCTGACCACACAAGGTCACAAAATGCTCCTGGAAAATAATTATTCATATATCAGGAAACTCAACAAATTTACATATTAGTAGGATCCCAAAGAAACTAATAATCTCATATCATACCTTTATGTGGAATTTCCTGGTTTCTTTCAATGCTACGGATTTGGTCAAGAGTTCGGATTTCTGGTGACAGACCTCCATGAACACAAAGAACTTGTTCGTCAATTAACTACAATAACAAAATTCTCATATTAAATGACTATCTCCGATACACAAATATTTTTGTTTTTAGAAAGCTAAAGTTTACATACAGAATGATGTTTTTGGCATCAGTCTGATTTTACTTAAAGAAAATACATTAAAAAGTGCTCACCTTTGTCCAGTTTACTTTAGGGTTTTGAAGTAATTGTGTGCAATGTGGCTGATTTATTGTTATGTGGGTACATAATGTGACATACAAAAAAAAACACTCCGTGGTTTTAGTCCGCAAGCGAAGTGTACTGACCGAGTGACCACCACTTTTCAGCGAAGTTATATTGTGATACACTTTGTATTAATATTTCTGTTTATACGCATACATATGCTATACCTTAATTTGTGTTTCTCGCTGATGGCTACAGATGTCCCTAGAACAACCCGCACATGAGACCAGTCACAACAGACTAATAGTGACGAAGTTTAATATGAGATTACAATACAATATGTATGAATACAGATATGGCAGCAAAATTTTGACACACACGTATTTAAAACATTTGTAATTTCACATGTGATGCTAAATCACCCTTTTCTTCTTCCTCAAGCATACAAATTGCTGTTAACTCTTTATGCCATATGCATGTCTGACCTCATCTCAAATATGACCACACATAAGTGTTCAGACATTCACATTTGCAACAATGTAATAACTTTCAATACTATATTAATAAACTAGTTTATTTAGTGATATACTCTTGTAAAAATGTTTCTGAATATAAGAGGCATATGCTGTTAATGTGTGACGTATTATGCACCTATTACATAAAAATATAACACAGATTTAAGATAGCCAAGCAATTTACAAATGTGTAAACTATCTAGAAGTCGTGAAGGATTCTAAAAATCCTTTTAACTCATGTATAACAAAGAAGAATGCCAGCATAACTTAAAATAAACTTAATGTAATGCAGGAAAACTCTCATGCAGCAATACCAGAAATGGGATAAAAAATGGTCTCTTTGACAGGAGTGACAATCAGTAGAATACTAAAGACTTTAGAGCAGCATAACCCAGCAGAAGTATCTGTTATGAAGGCATGTGCACCATGAAATATAGACAGGGTCTACAAAAATGAAAACATCTATATTCTGTATACTATTAAAGCATCAATTACTAAATCAACTCTAAACTGGCTGGGACTGCCATCAGTCCTTGTGAAACTGTCTGATCATAACAGAGTTCAACTGTTATGGATCCCAGGTCACAGATTTCGGGGTAAAGAAATTGCTGATCAAGTGGCAAGGATGGGATCTGAACATTGATTTACAGAGCCTGAACAATAATGCAGAATCCCGGTGGGCATTTCAAAAAAGTGCGTCAGGGACTGGATGAACAAAGACCATAAAACATACTGTGAGGGTTTCTTCAAGGACCCTCTCCCAAAACTATTAGAACTATTAGAATTAAACAGGAGAAAGGTATGATGGGTGGCTACTTATAGGACACCATTTTTAAACTGACTAACCACAAACCCCACTTCTGAAAGGTGTCTGAACAAGGATGAACAGCCTCACACTTCCTATGTGATTGTACGGTCTTAGCTTACTTAAGACTGCAGCATCTGGGACATCACTTCAGGGAACCAGGTGCTTACTCAGGCACCACTTTAATTAAAATATTATATTTAATTACTTATATTATAACCGTCGACACAACAAAGTGGGGATATCTTCAATGAAGATAACAGATGTTGGTATATATTGTCACATGTTGGGTATATGTCACGCGACAAATAATTTCACGCCGTCTTGGATATAATGAATTTATTGAACAGTTACACAATTCACAGTTTCACCACTACTGCCATCTGCAGTATCACACTTCTCCTGCTGGAGTCACTGCCATTCACTCAATACAACTCAATAACAATGGACTTCAACTCACTCCAGCGTAGACTGCAACTGACTGGTTAGGCATTCCAATTCTCTTATAAACCCTCAGCCAGACAGCAGAAAATGAACCTCGCTTCCCTGTTGCATAATCGCTGTGTTTACAGGCATTGCTTGGCAACGCTGCTGAGAGTTGTTTATTGCTGCATAGCAACCAGCGTGCTTCGGCACGGCACAGAGAAACACCAATTTCCTTACTGTTGCGTAACTTGGCAACCGACTGGTTATCAAGGTTGTCTTTGTGGTAACTCATTTCACCTCCCGCTGCCCAGCAATGGTTAGACATGTCACAATATTTTACTTATTTAATGTAAATGTAATTTATGCTATATGTTTTGACCATACAGTTTAGGTAATTATCAGGCACTTATGAACATAACTCAAGTGATTAAAATTTATGGTCATGATATGGATCCATATTCCTGAAACTGACGGTTGTGCTGCACTATTTACATAGCGAGCACAGTTCAGCAATTTAATGTTCTAATAAAATTCATTATGATATAAAGAGCATGGAAAATATAAAAATGTATAAAAGTATTGATCGTATATTTAAAATGATGGCTAATTATTATGCTTAGGTATGTGTAACTTTCCACAGATGTGTGTCAATATGCAGGACAGGGGGGTCTAAGTATTAACTCTTTGACTGGCACAAAGGGTATTTAAATCTCACCCCTGTCCTGGCAGGCCCTTTAAACCTTATGTCGCTGAAATGCATGTAGTTACTTTTTCCTAAACAACTTCAACAAAAATTGGTTTTTAAAAACGAAATTTTTAGGAACTAATTAAAATATAATATTTTATGCAATAAATGCTTTTCCACACCTCTTTATTTGTTTTTCTTCGTG